CGGCATGAAGCCGAATTACTTTGCAGACACTGGCTGAAAGCCGCCGCGCCTGTTTGTTTTGTTCCTTCGATGCTGCGGCAAAGCTAGGACGCGGTTGTAGTTGCCGGTCGATCGGGTTGGCTTGTGTTCGTTGCCTTAATCTGTTGGCTGTATCGACGACCTTTGGGAACTCTGTTCTGAGGAACAGCTGACGCCGTCGGCCGGCATCAACGAAGAGTTGACGTTAATCATCTGCTGCAGTAGGAGCGGCTTGCATCGCAGTGCGATTAGAACAGCTTTCTGAGCCCAGCGCATTCTGTGGCAGCGAACAAAATGGGGGACGACGCGGAGACCGAGAAGAAATTCGCTGAGGCCGAGATTGTGCCGAACATCATACCGGAAGCACCGAAAAGACTACTGAAGGTGTTGCATACGAGGCGAACCACATCATTAATTAACGTCAGCTAACGTCTTTCTGTTTCAGGTGAACTATGAGGGTACAGAGCTGGTGCCGGGAGTCACATTGAAGACGAGCATGGTACGCTTTGCGCCTAGAATCACGTTTGAAGCTGATCCGGAAGCTATGTACACGCTGGTCATGATAGGTAATATTGAGGCGAAACCGAAGCGATACTTCATCCGCAATGCTGCACATGTATTTGCTCAAATACCAGTTAATAAGTGCTGAGTTTCAGATCCGGACAATCTGAGTAGAAAAAATCCTTCAGTCGCAGAGTGGCTGCATTGGCTTGTGGTCAACATTCCAGCCAGCAATCTGTTGGATGGCATTATGGGCGGTCAAGTGCTCATGGCGTACGGTAGCCCTGGACCACAACCACGAACTGGTTAGTAGTAATGGCGTGTACGATAGAGTCGCCGCACTGACAATACTTTAAGATCTGCACCGCTACATTATTCTATTATATGAGCACGCTGGCAAGAGAATTTCGCAGCCACCACCATCACAGCGAGCAAAGTTTAAGGTGAAACTGTTCCAAGAAAAGCACGGCCTCGGATGTCCAATTGCTGGCAACTTTTTTCTGGCAAAAAATGAGTCTGGTTAGTCACGTCTGGTGAAACGGCTGAGACTGGCCTGGTTTCGTGCTTTGCTGTTTTTGTAGGCAGAGGAGTTATTCATGTAGCTGTCTTGAGGCATATCCTGTTGGTTTTTTATGTGCGTGTGTGCGTGTGTGTGTGTGTGAATAAACAGGAAATCCGTCTGTTAATAGCAAGAAACTACATACGTCTCGTTTGGACGGAAGTTTCTCATATGAGCTTTAATGCAATACTAAACAGCTGCGCACTGCACTGCTGAACATTGCTTTGCACCACCGTCGTTTACATTGAGCAGCATACATTGCAATGTTGAACGAAGTTTAGCTGATATCGCTGAACGTGTTTACTTCGACTCATCACTCAACTTCCAAGATAAATTTTACACTCGCTGGAAACTGACGTCGCTCACCTTTTTTGAAATGAAATCTTCCGATACAGATTGAAGTCTTATTGTGTTCAAAATAGAATCCATTATGTTTCATCGTGCATTCTTTCAAAACATCGCGGACAGTGGTCCATTCGATCCCTTTTTAAAAGCTTATAGTCATATTTGTCAGTTCCTGATTAATGTTGCCTCATTGGTCCTCTGCTTCGGAATGCCTGAAAGATTCTCATTGCTGTTATAGCGACATTGGAGAATAAGACCAGTTCCTTACGATGGCGTGCAACTCTGTTCATTGATGCTTTCTTTCATATTATTTAACATCTTGACGCACTGTATGATGCGGAGGGCTTTCATTTTGCGATTCCGCTCACTATATTCAATTGTATTTTTAATGGACCGTGAGTATGCCGGAGACATCATGTAGCTCGACAATTCGTAGATGGTATATTCAAACGCACTAAAAGCTCGTGCAGTGGGTTTGACAGAATTGGACCAAACTTCGACTCTAAGAAGATGAAGAACCGGGTAATAGCAGTTGCCAAGATGGTTGAAAGCTGTATAAACGAAGCAGTGGTAGAGGAGTTCAACCAGTTGAACTATTTTGAACTGGCCCTGGTTGACATCATTGGTTGTGACCTGGAGGGAAATCGACTCATTGGGCATGCAAAAACGAAACACCTGGAAATTGCATAAACTCTAGAAAGGTGGACTATATGAGCGGCAGCGAGGATCACCGTCTTAATGTCGGGTTCACGATAGCACGTAAGCTTCAATACGCCTGCTGCACTGAACTGTCGAAGTTGGTTTGACACGTTGTATGTGAAATATTTGTAGCGTATGATGGCACAAATGGATTGCAAACGAAGGGGTGATGTAAAGAATCGCCAGTATCAAATGCTCATAGAAACCTG